ACAATTAAATTAATTTCATATTATTAAAATAACATTAAAATAAAATACAATATTAAATAAAATAAAGTTTAAAATAAATAAAAATTGTAAAATAAAAATTGTTTTTACGCAGCGGATAACCTTCCAGCCACAACCCACGCGAATACAGGGAGAACTTACAAACTCCACACAGAAATGCCAACTGACCCAGCTGAGGCTCGAACTAGCGACCTTCTTGCTATGAGGAGAACGTGCTACCCACTGCACCACCGTGTCGGCCTGTAAATAAAATAAAATGTAATATGAAATAAAATTAAAAATCAAATGAATTGTAAAATAAAAAAGTTAAATAAAATATAAAATAACACACAATAAAATATAAAACACAATAAAATAATATAGAAATTAAAAAAATATATATATTTTTAATAATAGCAAGATGGTTGCTGGTTTGAGCCTCAACTGGGTCAGTTGCTGTTTCTGTGTGGAGTTTGCATGTTCTCCCCGTGTTCACATGGGTTTCCTATGGGTGTTCCAGTTTCCCCCACAAGTCCAAAGACAAGGTATAGGTGAACTTTGTATCCTAAAATTAACAGTAGTGCATCAGTGTGTTTGTGAATGAGTTTGTATGAGAGGTTCCCAGTGATGGGTTGCAGCTGGAAGGGCATCTGCTGCGTAAAACATATGCTGGATAAGTTGACGGTTCATTCCATTGTGGCGACCCCAGATTAATAAAGGGACTAAGCCAAAAAGAAAATGAATGAATGAATGTAAAAATAATATAAAATGTAAAATAAAAAAGTAAAATGAAATGAAATATAAAATACAATACAATAATATAAAATACAATAGAACCATATAGAAAATTAAATTCATGTTAATAAAATTAAATAACGATTTTAATAAAATGTCAAATAACATTTAAATAAAATACAATGTAAATAAAATAAAATGTGAAATAAAATGTAAAATAATGTTAAATAAAATAAAATAAATTATTAAATAGAACAGAATAAAATAAAATGTGAATAAAATAAAATGCTAAATTAAATAATTTGCAAACTACACTTAAATATAAAATAAAATGTGATTAAATTTCAAATTAAATTAAATGTAAAATAAAAAAGTAAAATAAAATATGAAATAAAATGGAATAATAAAATATAAAAAACAATAAAATGAAATTATTATTAATAAATAAAATAAAATTCTTTATTTAATCAGTCAGCTGAGAAAGTTTGGTGATGCATACTTAATTAGTTTTACCCTGTTCACCTGGTATTGCTGCAAGTTGTGAGGCTCTTTTTTTTCTTTTCCAGAGCAGATGGATGTTGATAATGTAACTAGTAGACAGATTCTTGAGAATGTGCCCGGCGAGAGGGCAAAGGTGTCGATCTGTAGACCATAACAGGACATCCATTAAGATTAGAATCACTGTTTTCTGGGCTATTGGGAGAATGCATGTTTGCCCTGTTGACCAACATATCCTGCCTCTTGCATTTTGCACATAATAGAAAAGGAGATTCTAGATTATCGCTTCATAATAATATTGTTAACCAGGCTAATTTGCCATCATTTAAGCGTAGTTTGCTTAATAAAATATCAATTTATTTTGTTACATAATTACAATTTTCTACTGTTATGTATTTAAATGATCATTTTAATGAACAAAGGTTGATTTAAAGTCATTTGTTTTTTTTTAACAAAATGACTTGTGATGATTTTTATTTATTTATATTTCATTTTTAATTTACATTTTTTTTATAAATAATAATTATAATAATGTAATATTATTCATTCATTCATTCATTTTCTTGTCAGCTTAGTCCCTTTATTAATCCGGGGTCGCCACAGCAGAATGAACCGCCATGTTATTATTATTATTATTATTATTATTATTATTATTATTATTATTATTATTATTATTATTATTATTATTATTATTATTATTATTATTATTATTATTTCAATGCAGGTTAACTGACATCAGCATTGTTTTTCAGATAAACAAGAATGTTCACTCAGCATGTTTCTTTAATATCTGCAAACATATTATGGTATTTTTATGCTTCAGAAGAGTCAAAAACTTTCATACAGCACGTTTAATGAACATAACATTTTGTTCACTCAAACAACCAGAAGGACTCAGATGTTGAGTTTGATTCAGTGCATTTTTGATTCTGTTTTTGATAGCATGAGTTACCCTCGAGTTTCATGGTCAGATCAGACCGGCGATGAGATTGTGACTCTGGAGATCTGATTAAACTATCAGTTTTGTAACAGATCTGAAGTCGTGAGTCAACAGACGCTTCTCGATGAATGTGTTTGACTCTCCGCCAGTCATTTGCTGTTTGGTGAAGTCATTAGTCATAATTCAGAACACAAGCATTGCATGAAATAGGAATGGGAATTAAATTAAATCTCACTGAGAGCTTTTCTGTGGTAGTCTTGTTTTCCATTATGGTTTATTAGTTATAGTTCCCATATGTCTTTGTGTTTAATTAGATTTGGGAGTGACTTGAATGATTGAGTTTGAAAAAAACAAGTTTTAAGTTTTTTTAAATTACAATGACATTTTTTTAGATGTTAATGTGTTCATTTTAAGGATATCTATAAGCAAGGTTGCTACAAAACTAGGAGAAAAAACAGATATAAACATCCAAAGCTTGGTGTTTGTCACTTCCACCTAAATGGATCAACATATTTTTTTTTTACATCACCTCATACTTCCTTTTCTAATCAAATCTTGACCAACCATATGTAGGGATGAGTATCATTAAGGTTTTAATGGTATTACTACTTTTATCGATACCCCATATCGGTTCGGTAACAATTCTCCTATCGGTATTTTTTGTAGTGTTTTTTTAATTTTTTTTTTTATGAATTGACAAACAAACAAACAAATTGAACAGAATTAACAACACTTTGTTTTATTATTACGTTTTTAATGTAAAACAAAACAAAACCAATAATTGTAAAACAAATCAATTTTTTTTTCCTTTAAAAGAATGTAGCCTAGTGGTTTGAAGGAAAATGACTCCGTTTTTAACCATTCTTCTGGAGAAAAATCAACATGTTTGACTTTTCTGGCAGAAGTCGGGACCTTTCTTGGTTTATTGTGCTCCCTGACTATGAAAATACTCTTTGAGTTGTAAGATGCAAATGAGATAATGTTTATGGTTTTTCATTAACACATTCACATAAATGAGTTCACAGTGTTTTGGGAGTTAACTGTGTTTTAATACAGTTTTGGAGCATCTTGCAATGTAAAAATACGCTTTCTTAATAAGCATAGTTTATTATTAGGCTATTCATAGCAATATTCATAGTTTATTATTAGGCTATTCATAGCAATATTCATTTTTAAAATCCCGCGGATGTAAACACATTTTTAATGTTTAGGATTTATTTAAGCTACTGCAGAAAAAAATACTGTTTTTATTGTAACTGAATGTGTGTGTTTATATAACTATTATTATACTAATTTAGGTGGTTGACTGTTTGTATAACGAAGGATGATGTAACGTTACCATTAGTAGCTAGGCAGTCAAAAACTTTTCTTTTGTCTTTTTGCAATTAATGCACTTTTAAAAGATACTTTCACTAACCCAGATTGCTTGCATTTCCGCTTATGCAAGAAAACAACTTGTTGCATTTGTTTCAACGGGCAATTGTTTTGTGCACTAGTCTCTTTTGTCTGCTGTAAAGTTGGCTGTTTTAACAGTGGGCTCAATAGAAATTTGCTCTATTATGGAGCCAGAACTAGCAGAATTTTGATAAATTGCAGTTTCAGTTACTATTAGTAATACTATTACTATTAGTAATAATAGTTCCGTATTAGCTTCACGATGGAGAGTGGGAGGTTGCCGCTTGGTAGAAATACAGCAGTTACAAGTTTTATAATGATTTGATCAACTGTAGTTTGAAATTACACTGAGTTTTTGTCCTCTAAGGGCTTATTATGCGGTCTCTGTTCCCATCTTGTTGCAGAACGTCATCCGTCTTTGCTCAGTATGACAGGCTGATTGATGCCAACGCGCTGAATCTCTGAAATTATAAATATTAAAAATAGGCACTATCCTTATAGATGAACTTTATAGATGCAATCTAAACAACCACATTTCCACCTCAAAAGTTCTCAAAAGTACATTATGTTGTCCAACAGCTGCAATATTTGTCAAACTGTAATGAGTCTATTGATCTGCTGTCACTCTATGTGGGTGGAGTAATACACAAGAGTGAGGAGGCTGTATGAGTGCTGTTATTGCAGAATATCGCACGGCTATCAGTCAATCAGAACCGAGAACCAGACAGAACATAAATAATGATGCATGTTTTGGTGTAAAAAAATCTTAAAACAATCTGTTCAAATATCCTTTTGTATGGCTGGTTAAATGAGCATGAAATGATGCATGTACTTATAAAATTCACTATTGTTCTTCACATGACATTGTTGTAAACTTCTAAGAGCCCCAAAAACCAGGGAGAATCATTCGGTTGTCTTCAAAGCAGAATCCTTTTTAATAAGAAGAACTCAGCGTGGCTGTGGCATCATCGAAAGCAAACTCTAAACTCCACAGCAAACATAATACATGTTATACATGTTACAGCAAGTAGGTGAGGTCAGTCATGGTGGGGACAGTCAAACAAAGCATGCAAATGAAGTCTGGGTGCCATGCCTTCTTCAGGTCTGATCTCATCAATATATAAGTACATCATTACAACAATGTGCAAATGATGTTCTGGAGACAGGGAAGACAATAGATACAGCCATGCTGTGTAACTGATAATTGCATCACTTTGGCTTAGCCTGTAGTCAGCAAGGCAAAGGTTAAATGTCTCTCCTAGCTGGCATGTCAATGAAATGATATAATTAAAAACCAAAGAATATAACTTTTCAGCTATACGTAGATTATTATTCATTTGGAATTAGATGATAGAAATTTAAATTTCCTCAACATTTAACTTCAATATGAATTTTTCAAATCAATTAAAGTTGTCTTCCTTTCTTTCTTGTCTAGTTTCTCTGCCTGAAGAACATCAGGACATTTTTGCACGCCTGCTCAGAGATATTCGGCATGAAGAAAAGCGAGCTGTTCGAAGCGTTCGATTTGTTCGATGTTCGGGATTTCGGAAAGGTAAGACACTCCAGTTTATTTCACTTTTAACTCTCACTAGTGCCGTATTTCACACACATTTTTACTCGCCCCATTTTCCAAGCCTCAGCAAACCGGCATGATATAACTGTTTCTAATGCCACTATCATCCATCTTATTCCCAGATGTGTCTGAGTTTGAGTCTGCTGGTGTTTTTGCGGTGTTGTGTCTCAGTTGATTATGTTGAGAGATGCTGAGCTCTTTGTCTGCTGTAATAAAGTCTCAGTGTCTGCATCTCATCCTGCTGGTAATGTGATCCGCTCTTCAATGTGTTTAATGAGAGATCAGTAAAAGACGGATGGAGACACAGACCTTCTGTGAGGGTGTGGGAGATTGTCTTTGTGAATTACATCTTTAAATTAGTTTGTAGACTTGGACTGATTACTGTATATGCAGATTTGAGTGTGTTTAGAAAGTAAAACAGCGTCTGTTGTATCTGTTGTTCTATAGTTCTATCTTTCGTTCTATAGTTCTATTATAGTTCTATCTGTCGTTCTAGAATTCTATCTATTGTTCTATATTTCTATCTGTTGTTCTATAGTTCTATCTGTTGTTCTATAGTTCTATCTGTTGTTCTATAGTTCTATCTGTCGTTCTATAGTTCTATCTGTCGTTCTATAGTTCTATCTGTCGTTCTATATTTCTATCTGTCGTTCTATAGTTCTATCTGTCGTCCGATAGTTCTATCTGTCGTTCTATAGTTCTATCTGTCGTTCTATATTTCTATCTGTCGTTCTATAGTTCTATCTGTCGTTCTTTATTTCTATCTGTCGTTCAATAGTTCTATCCGTCGTTCTATATTTCTATCTGTTGTCCTATAGTTCTATCTGTTGTTCTATAGTTCTATCTGACATTCTATCGTTCTATCTGTCGTTCTATATTTCTATCTGTCGTTCTATATTTCTATCTGTCGTTCTATAGTTCTATCTGTCGTTCTATAGTTCTATCTGTCGTTCTATAGTTCTATCTGTTGTTCTATAGTTCTATCTGACATTCTATCGTTCTATCTGTCGTTCTATATTTCTATCTGTCGTTCTATATTTCTATCTGTTGCTCTATAGTTCTATCTGTCGTTCTATAGTTCTATCTGTCGTTCTATAGTTCTATCTGTTGTTCTATAGTTCTATCTGACATTCTATCGTTCTATCTGTCGTTCTATATTTCTATCTGTCGTTCTATAGTTCTATCTGTCGTTCTATAGTTCTATCTGTCGTTCTATAGTTCTATCTGTTGTTCTATAGTTCTATCTGACATTCTATCGTTCTATCTGTCGTTCTATATTTCTATCTGTCGTTCTATAGTTCTATCTGTCGTTCTATATTTCTATCTGTCGTTCTATATTTCTATCTGTCGTTCTATAGTTCTATCTGTCGTTCTATAGTTCTATCTGTCGTTCTATAGTTCTATCTGTTGTTCTATAGTTCTATCTGACATTCTATCGTTCTATCTGTCGTTCTATATTTCTATCTGTCGTTCTATATTTCTATCTGTTGCTCTATAGTTCTATCTGTCGTTCTATAGTTCTATCTGTCGTTCTATAGTTCTATCTGTTGTTCTATAGTTCTATCTGACATTCTATCGTTCTATCTGTCGTTCTATATTTCTATCTGTCGTTCTATAGTTCTATCTGTCGTTCTATAGTTCTATCTGACATTCTATCGTTCTATCTGTCGTTCTATATTTCTATCTGTCGTTCTATAGTTCTATCTGTCGTTCTATAGTTCTATCTGTCGTTCTATAGTTCTATCTGTTGTTCTATAGTTCTATCTGACATTCTATTGTTCTATCTGTCTTTCTATATTTCTATCTGTCGTTCTATATTTCTATCTGTCGCTCTATAGTTCTATCTGTTGTTCTATAGTTCTATCTGATGCAGGGGCGTTGCGAGGGGGGGGCTTTGGGGGCTTAAGCCCCTGATGTATTGTCAAAAGCCCCTGATCTCTTGGAATATATTGCACTTAAATAAAAATATGTTGTATAACATTTATTTTGTTATGTAAGTACTAAAAATTACCACATACATCACGAACATTCCACTTAACGCAGCGTTTGTGTCAGGTAATTAAACCGTCAGCTGTTCAGCAGTACCTGTTTCTACCGGCAGGTGGGAGTGGCTCTGTTGTCACATGGTGTTAAAAAAATCCCGCCACTGCACATCATTCATTTATTATTTTGAGGAGCTGAAGCTAATGAGGTAGTAATACAACTCTTTCGTGAAACTGAATAGTTTTAACTACTGATGAAGCTTGTTTCCACAGTATAAAATGTGTGTAGTTTTGGTGACATGAAATAACTATAATCAGTAAAATGTGCATCATATCAATGTAAATACAAGTAAAAAATCGTAAATTGTACTAGCTTTCTAGATATCATATATTTATATGATATAGCAAGTCACATCTGTTTCTGTAATAGTTAAATCACAGTGAGTTTATGCATCTAGCTTATTATTATATAACTATATTCTACTGTAACATGCTATGTCAGTTTGAATCAAATTATAAATCGACTTTCTTATGAAAATACCTAAAATGGTTGGAAGAACACCAGTTGAAGTCTGAATTATTAGCCCCCGTTTATTTTTTCCCCCAAATTCTGTTTAACGGAGAGAATATTGTTTTCAGCACATTTCTAATCATAATAGTTTAAATAACTCAACTCTAATAACTGATTTATTTTATCTTTGCCATGATGACAGTGCAATAATATTTGACTAGACGTTGTTTAAGACACCCCTATACAGCTTAAAGTGACATTTAAAGGCTTTAAAGTCAGGTTAGGGTAATAAGGCAAGTTATTGTATAACGATGGTTTGTTCTGTAGACTATAGGAAAAATATATAAAATCTTAAAGGGGCTAATAATTTTGACCCTAAAATGTTTTTTTTTTAAATGTAAAACTGCTTTTATTCTAGCTGAAATAAAACAAATAAGACTTTCTTCAAAAGGAAAATATCAGACATAGGCTACTGTGAAAATTTCCTTGCTCTGTTAAACATCATTTGGGAAATATTTAAAAAAGAAAATAAAATTCAAAGGAGGGCTAATAATTCTGACTTCAACTGTATAAAAATTTTTTTGTCGCAGTCGTGTAAATGATCTGTTAAAGCCTTTTTATTTTTATTCAGATCGTATTTTTATTCTACTACAGCAACAGCTGGATGCCTTCATCCATATTAGAGATTTCCTAGAATGTTCTACTACTTTTGTGAAGAATATATATGGAATTTCTGCTCAAGTATGAATAAAACAGGCATTACATGCATTTAAAGTGCTACAATGCCCACATCACCCTATTTTGAGGAAAACTGAAAAAAAATCCCTCTGAAGAAATTTAAAGTAAACATATTTCTAGCATATAGATCTTTATTTTTATTTTTTTTGTAGCCTTAGCTAGCCTACTATTTTTGATAGAATTGTTATTATGTAAAAAATAGTAGCCTATTGAATATCAATATTTTGCAAGGTATTGAATTTAGAAATTCCATTATTTTGACAACACTACACCTCAGTTAATCACTCTGTCGAAATTTAACATGTTTGTAGCTTTGTATCACATTAGATAACAACGCACACTATAAAAAATAAATCATATTTTCAGATTTGAAGACATGCAGAAAATTACATTTTCAAAAAACAAACAGAAACTTCAAATCAGGAGGAGATAGGAGGTTCAAGAGGTATGATATGGCTCATAACATTTCATATTTGGATTTTACAAGTCTTAAAAACCCTTTATTTATTATTAACCATTTTTAATCCTGTTAATAAGATTAGAATAGGTATATTAGTGCGGTGAATTAAAACTTGGGGGGGTGATGGTTCTTTGGGGCTAAGCCCCTTATCCCTTTCGACCCTAGCAACGCCCCTGATCTGATGTACTATAGTTCTATCTGATGTTCTATCGTTCTATCTGTCGTTTTATATTTCTATCTGTCGCTCTATACTTCTATCTGTTGTTCTATAGTTCTATCTGACGTTCTATCATTCTATCTGTCTTTCTATATTTCTATCTGTCGTTCTATATTTCTATCTGTCGCTCTATAGTTCTATCTGTTGTTCTATAGTTCTATCTGTTGTACTATAGTTCTATCTGATGTTCTATAGTTCTATCTGATGTTCTATAGTTCTATCTGTTGTACTATAGTTCTATCTGATGTTCTATCGTTCTATCTGTCGTTTTATGTTTCTATCTGCTGTTCTACAGTTCTATCTGTTGTTCTACAGTTCTATCTGTCATTCTATAGTTCTATCTGTCGTTCTATAGTTCTATTATAGTTCCATCATTCTAATATAGTTATATCTGTTGTTCTATAGTTCTGTCTGTCATTCTATCTGCCGTTCTATAGTTCTATTATATTTATATCGTTCTATTATAGTTCTGTCTGTCTGTCTGTCTATCTATCTTTACACCTAATTTTTCTTTATTTATTAATATATTCAGTTTGTCTGTAGCTGTTGGCAACTGGTTTTGGTTTTGGTCACTTTTTAAGTGCCTATTGTGTTATAAAAAGTGGGCCCTGCTGTTTCTGGCTGTACACAGAGCACTAATGGAGCGAAAAAAAAAATCGACCATTCGTCTGAACTGTCACTCATTTTTTGACCTTTTACACCTTCTCATTTAAAATAGATGTGACTAAATGTGTTTCCTATAAGACCAAGTTCACACTAATGTGTCTTGAGGCAGAAAAGTATTAAAGGGAGGCGCATGTGCGCTTGAATCTTTTCCTTTGTAAAGATGATTTGACAGCGTTTAGTTCACTTTCAGGCGTGTATTACAGCTTATGTCATGTGGCCTGCTTCACAGCTGCTGTTCACATCTGTTGATTCTCTTATCTCAGACAGGCTCTGTGTATGTATTCATAAGCACAGAAGGGGAGAGCGTTCACACACACATTTACACTAGAAACGAGCAAACACTCGCTACTCTGTGGAACGCTCAGTGAAAACAGCAGAGATGTTTTCCACATGACTGACAAAACA